TATTTTTGACAAAAGAGAAGAATTCAAATTCAATATTATAAAAGTACTTCATTGGGAGAGTAATGTACATGTTTCTGTATTCAGAAATATTATTAATTACATACAACGCAATAACTTTCTGGTTTAAAAAAAAATCAGAAGAAATAAAAAACTAAAAACATTTTACTAAATATTGCTTAATTCAAAAATACCCAATTAATTTTATTAATATTTATTTGAATACAGAAATTCTAAATAGTAAAGATTAAAAAAAATTCCTTAGAATATTAATAGTTTATTGTTATTAATTTATCATTTTTTCTAGATAGATATAGTTACCTGATATTAAAAAATTTAAAAAATTTCTTATTTTTTTAATTTTAACCATAGTAATTTTTTTTAATATTTAAATACATTTATAATCCCAATGTCCTTCAAGTAATCGTAGTATTTATATACACTATTTAATTATTTTATTTCTATTTTTTCATTTTTTAAAATTAACCTATTCAGCCCTTTCCATGCTTTGAATTTGCTTTGGGGAAATCTGAATAATTTCTTAATTGTACTCAAATTTAGCTCGGGCTATACCTTTTAGAATGTAACTTTTAGATAAGTTCCCTTTTTCTTGTAATGGATTTAGATATTCTATCCATTATTTTTTAATAGGTTTTGCTCATTATTAAAAAAAAATTCGCTGAAAAAAATTCAACCCCCACTTTTTTGTAAATTTTTTTTTATGTATTAGGCTGTGGGCCCCGTGGTTGAACGGTTGGGGATCCCTCTTCCCCCAAAAAGGTCCAGGGGGGCCCCCGGGCTGGGGGGGTTGACCAGCCTTTCGTCCCTTCAGTGATTCGATGAATGATACCAAGCTTTTTTTGGAAAATTTAACACTGGGGGTTTCGGTCAGACTAAACCCCCTGACCAGAACATCTGCCATGCCCTCAGGGCCTAAGTTGGGATATAGCCTTGACCCTCAGGGGAAAATGTTTATTTTTTAAATGTTAATATTTTTATAAAATTAAAAATATATATATATATATATTATATATATATTTTTTTTATTATATTTAAATTTTATTACTTTTATAATTTCTAATATACCCTTTCTAAAATCTTATGTGTCTGGTTTATCTTACAATTTCGTATTTTTTCAGTTTTAGTGATTATTGATTATTCATCTCTCTATATATGGTAGAGAATTTTTACTATACATATGTGAGTGTATTAGAGCTTCATTATAATGAAAAGATAAAATAAATATGTTTGTATGAACGTCATACTCTCTCTCTAAAGCATCATAAATAATTTTTTGCGACAGATCTCCTAATCTTGAATCACAGTCACATGATGTGAACGATACTTGACTTTTATATAGTACTTTTTTTTTGCGAATTTCCTCACCACATTATTTATCGCACCCCTCAATTTTTGTTTGCATGGTTTGAGCCCAGTCCACTAAGACCCACCGGGGGGGGGCACGATGCACGTTAAATCTGTCGAGAGCGGGAAAGTCTTCCCGTTGGTGGGTGTGGTAGTTAGGGGGGGGTGCCAGCTCAGGTGTCGTCCACGTTACTTGACCATGGATCAAAATTAGTGGTCCGTCGCTAAAAGCCCTCGTGTAGCTGAACAGTGTGACGTTAATATTCACTCACTCACTCAACATTATGTTCATCATAATCTTTTGAGGATTCAGGACTCGAATTTATTACTAGATTAGTACGTATTTTTTGGTTGGTTAGCATTCATGATAAAAAAAATTATATAAATAGAGTGTCTGCATAAAGCTAGTACGCGTAAAAAAGTCTGTTTGAAAGTCATCTTTAGTTAGTTTGGAATTAAAAATGGGTCTCATCAAAGACATACCAGTCTCTAATATGACTGCAATTACAGTAAAATCCGGTATACAACGCGCACTTTTAACACAAGAAATAAGATCGAAATTCACGAGGGCGCGCTATACGCCGGATGTAAAAATGATAACTTTTAAAAAAAATATATAAATAGATGATCATAAAAGAAATTAAACTACTGCATACATTTAAATACTGTTTATTTAAAAGAAACGACATTCTTTATGAACTTAAAGGAGGCCGCGGTAGCCGAGTGGTATAGGTATCGGACCGTGGCTTGCCTTACACGAGTTCAACCAGACCTATCCCAAGACCCCCCAAATGTAAAAAATATAATATAAAATTGATGATCAAAAATTGAAACTCCTCCGTTAAATCTGTGCGTTCTTAGCTTAGAAGAGGGGGTTAGCCGAGGGTGTGGGTTCCGGACCGTCTCTTGTCCAGGTTCGAAAGTTACTAAAGACCCCAAAACCCTGTGTTGCAAACGTGCACGTTAAATTCGAGCACAATCGTCACTCTTGGGATTGTGGTAGTTAGAAGAGGGTTCTAGCCTTCTCACACACCATTCAAAAGCTTCGGCAAAACCCTCGGAAAAGGGAGTTACTTCAAAACAATCAATATCATTGCGAAGGGTGGCTTAACGTACACCCCTTCAACACCGCTAAATAATAGGCTCATAAAGGTTCTCAAAACCCTGACTGCGCACACGTACTTAGCCCTTGGTAAAATCCTGCTTGGGCCCCGAAACCTGACTTTGTAGGAAGGGGGGTCACAAATATTTTCCTTTTCGCCGCTGATTACGCACGTACATTCAAGTTTTCTACGTAAAAAATGGGGTGCATGTTATACGGGGAATATACTTAAAAATTAAAAATTGTAGCTTGAAAGTATAGGTGTGCGTTATACGCCGGATTTTATGGTATATCTTGAGGGACTTTGGCAATTGATGATTTCCGAGAAAAAGAGTTGCTGTCCAGGAACAATGAGTAAAATTTTATTAACTGAGATTATTTTATTAATTTAAAAATTATTCTAAACATCAGTGTTTTAAAAGTAATTGTTCAAATAGTGGTCGTAAATGAATAACCACACTGAGAAAAAAACAGAATAAAAACACAAATAGAAAAGCTATGAATCACCAATTCTATTAGAAGCAGAAGAGATACTCTAAAAATTTGTTAATTATCTTGAAATGGACTTTTAAGCGATACTGCTTTTTTTAATCCGGTTTAGAAAGGTAATTAATTCTTTTTATAGTTTTATAAACTTTGCAATCTATTATTTCAATGTAAGAATGTCACCTGTAAATAGAACGTATCTTCAGCACTTTTGGAATTCTATTAATGCATTCAAAATGTTATTTATTTGTATTAAAACATTACGTACTTCTCATCAATGTTTATCAGTGGCACCTTTCAGGAAAGTATTACTTTCCAATCTAAATTACAAGTAAACAAAGTAAATCACTTTACAGTGTATGTTTTTTAAAATGAAAACATGGAGTATTGTTTTAAACGACATCTTTCCTTGTTATTTAACACCTTGCTCTAGTTGCCATGCAATGCACTATTTAATCCTGTGATTCGTCTACAAGTATTTAATCAATTCTACACGGAAAAAGTTTGCATATTTTGTTGTTCATTGATTTTCTATTTTGTCAATGTTCAAAATGAATTATCACTGGAGTACGTATTACTTTTAAAACTTTAACATTTTTTGTTAGTTTGAAAACTCTATTTGACCTGTTTTCTAAATAGAGAGATAAAAGGGAATTAAACAACTATATGTTCTAAGGAGAAATCGTTGAGATCATATCCGTTGATAAATTTTAATGTTAAGCAACTAAAAAAATTGTGTGCGTGTGTGTCGTTTTTATATCGTACAAATTTCCAAGAGAAGTTTACTCACACAAATTGCTATCACATAATATTCTAAGAATTATTTATATGTTATATAAGCATTTGTTTTACTTTATTTTAGCTGAATATTGAATCATTCTCAGTATAATTTAAAATATAATCCTATTCCTTAAAAATGTCAGGGAAAACTAATAATACGTTTTAGTTTGCTTTATGAATTTAAACTTGAGACTAGCGCTACAGAAGCTGAAGCGAAATTGGTATGTTTGGAAAAAAGACAATTACATCCCAGAAATTATTTATAATTTTTCTTTCAAGAGTAAATCCCTAAGAATCTTAGGTCTGGCAGAGCATCAAATCTAATGTCGATTAAAAGTTGAAACCAATTCCAGTTTAACGTGTCAACAGCATGCAGAAAGGCTCAAAGTAAATAATAAGATAATACAAAAGAATTTACACAAACACAAAGTTACACAGAGATGGAAATTACATAAATGGAATTAAGTAAGGCACCTACCTTAAATGAATAATTTTTGTTTGGTCTCTGCTGCAACGTGTGGCCGTCCGTTACAACTCAGTAGAGACTAAATAAAAATTATTTATTTAAGGAATATGTGAATCCCCTCGCCATCTTTCTTATTTTCTAGGCACAAATCTTTCGGATTATCACCTATTTTTATTTTTAGTTGATTATTAACGTTCCACTCTGATGAAACACAAAAGTTATAGGCGACGGATCTCGTAATTTTGAACCTTGGTCAAGTGATGAGGATGACATCTAAGCTGGCATTCAAGCTCCAATTTTCCACACCATGCCATCGTAAAAATTTTGAATTTTGATAGATTTCACGTGCGTTACAGGGCCTTTACACGGCAGGTTTTCAGGACTCGAATCCATGACGCAACAGATACTTTGCCGGTTTTGTGTTCTTGACCAACCGGCTCTTGGGTGAGTGGTGTAGGTTTTATAAGAGCAATTTTGGCTAACTGAACCGCTGTCTTGGATACACTGGACAATATAATATGTATGGTAAACACAATTTTACAATCAACAAGTAAAATAAAAAAAAATTAAGTCAATTGCTACTTAGGTTAACAAAGAAAAATGTTTTTTGTTGTTATTTAATTGTTTTTTATTAAATATATTACTATTAATATAAATGTGTATTTACATATGACAGAATCACAAATTAAGAGGCAAAAATAAAAATTGATTTTTCTTGCACAGTATTCTATTTTATGTAGTTGGACTATTATTATTGTTTGTTTGTTACTATTTATTCATTAATCACATTCCTGGAAATTAGGCCATCCCAGGTAGGACTCGAGCCCACGGCCTTTGGATTAGAAGTCCAACGCGCTATCCATTGCGCTACAAGGACACAGGGAGCACTTTTCGTTTTTAAATATGTTGTTGGACTATTATTTTTGTTATTAAATTTAATTACTGAATTAATATTTGAAAAAAAAACTGTATTAACATGAAGTGTCATCCACTACAAGCTTAAAAATGTATTTGAATTTGAGTGGATGAATAAAAAGTATTTTATTAACGATTGAAAATTTGAGCGAGATATATATGTTACCGACAAAGTATGAAACGCCGGCATTCTGTAGAATGACCAACGTTATTTAGGCAAAGTATGAAAAAAGGTTATGATAAGGCTATTATATCAATGATGTACATTCCTAAAAATTACAAATGTTATTCTGAAAAAATAATGCGAGTGCCATTAAAAAAGGTATTCAAAATACATAAAGGGGAAATGAAAGTTTTACCAAAAAAAAATTTATGTTTTTCTTATTAAGGAAAACAAAATTTTCATATAAAAAAATAAGAAATTAAAATTAACCTACTTGTTGCAACATGGTAAGCTTGAATGACATTTTCACTTCATTACATTTTTCACGAAAAAAAATTCTTATTTTGGTACTTTGTTTTACACATGCATTTGATGAATTCTTGGTCCAGTTGCAACTGACCGGAGTGGAATTTCGTTCTCAGGAATATCTAGTTCTAAGCAGGTTCTTAGGGCGTAAAATTGTTATTTCACGTATACTTTTGCTTAAAACTCCCTCAGAAGTTCCAAGTCGTTAGAAACTTTCTCACTCATTACAAGTGCCAATATATTGTTATTAGGGAAAAAAATCACAAGTTTCACAACAATGGCTTTTTTAAAATAATTGTCCGATTTTTCTGCCAAGGTTCACAAAGGTGGATGTATAGTTCAATATCACAACGTGTAACGCTTTTGTATTTGGTTGAAAGTTCTTTGGGAATTATATCACGTTCTTCCATGTTCAATAGCTAAATAAGCTTCATGAAGTACGTAAAATAACTCAAAACCTGTGAGGTAATACTATATAGCAGTAATCCGCAACCCCTGGTCCACGCGAATCAAATGGTGCCGGGCCGCCTAAAGAACATTAAACTATTGCCATTTTATTTAAAGTAGTGCATTTCTCTCGGATTTGCGCAACTTTCCACGGAAATCACTTTATATTCCTCGTTAAATCACTTTTATTAATTTTTGGTGAAACTATATTTTATTCTGAAAGGCATATTTAAATGTAACTAAATTAAAATTGTTAAATCAAAATAATTAATCAAAATTATCAAACGTTAAACGGTCGGCAGTGATAAAAAGATTGCGGAGCACTGCTGTATAGCATTGCTTCCCAACCTTTTTATCCCCTTTTTTGTATTTCTTTATTTTCACACAACACCGAAATCATTAACTTAATATTTACATAAAAACAAACTTGTAAGCGATTCGAGATCTTAATTTTTTAAGAACAGTGTCATTGACTTTCAAGTTTCTCTTATCACACATACAAAGTAGGTATACATCAAAAAAATTGTTTCGAATTTACGCCAATTTGCAATCAAAATTATTAATCAGCATCAATAAAATATATTTAACTAAATTATAAGTATATACATGCAATCAAATACATTTTTAAGAAGCTATTGAAGCTTTTTTAGTTGAAGGTTTATGTTTATGCTAATGCTTATAATTTTTTTTTCTCTTAATCAAATTTTTTAAAAATTTTCATAGGGATATGAAAGCCTAAAAAATTGTGATGAAATATAAAATAATGCTATTTACTTTTACTTATAATAAAAGTAAATAGCATTTATATTAGTTTGAATAAGAAACTGTATTTTATGGATTAAAATTCCTTAGAATATTAATAGCTTATTATTATAAATTTACCATTTTTCTTAGATATATTATAGTTACCTCCATATTCTAATGTTAGATAAAAAAATTACTTATTATTATTATTTTTTAAATTCATTTATAATCCTAGAGTCCCTAAAGTAATGGTAGTATGTAAACACTCTTTTTAATTTTTATTTCTATTCTTTTCATACTTTTTCTAAGCTCTACTATTCAGCCATTCCCATGCTTTGAATTTGCATTTGGGTCCAGAATCTGGCAATAACTTGTTTATTGTACTCTGATTTAGCGTGGGCTATGCATTTTTGAATGCAATTTTTAGGTAAGTTACCTTTATCTTGTAATAGATTTAGATTTTCTATCCATTATTTTCTATAGGGTTTTGCTCAGTATTATGAACATAAATGGGGAAAGGTTGGCTGCCCACAAAACATGTTCAACCCCACTTTTATATAAATTATTTCATATATAAGCTATCCTAAGTCAGAAATGTTTACAATACTGTAACATCCATTTTTTACATTTTAAACCCTATTACAATTTTAATTTCTCATACATTCTTCAATGTGTGTGGTTATCTTACAATCTCAATTGTTTTCGGTTTTGCTTGATGAATGTTCATCTCTCATTAGTAGAGAATTTAGACTATATATATGTTGAGTATTGTAGTAGCGTTGGCCGGTGTTGGTTTATTGTCATATCTGGTTTATTGAAGACATCTTCAGAATAACTTTTCCTCCTTTATTATGAAGCACACACACCAATAGATGAAAACAGAATTACGGTACATTTTCACATTGAATAGGTAGCGGCATGTTGGAGGACGCAAAGACAAAGAGCCTCAGTTATTTACATTCTTACATGATGAAGGCAAGCAGAAAGAGGGCGATTACACAAGATTTTTGCTTTTATACCAGCAGTGCAAGCGCGTGATTATTACGTAATAATAGTTCTGATTGGATAGAATAGGTGGGACAGGGATTTCGGACTAGCCGATTAATACGATTAAGATTACAGTGTTATTTCTTAAACCGAAGAAAAAATGTTTGTTTAAGGTATCCGACTACGTTCGGAATCGTGATTTTAAAAAAGCGCATAAATGGATAATTTTCATGATATTTAGTTTCACTTAGACATATATATATACATGTATAAAACTGTTTTAAGGACATTTTGACAAAAAAAATTATTTAAATACAATATTTCAGTAAAAAATTAACTTAGAATAATCTTTTTACCAAATGTTCTTCTTTTGTGAAAAATGCTTCTATTATAATAATATTTTGCCTGTATATAGCTCAGACCTCTGTACAGAGGCTCAACTATGATTTTTGAAAAATTCACATTATTTTCGGAGTTACAACCACTTGAAATATAATTATCGGCGTTTTTTTCTTAAAATTTCTCCCCTCTGTTATCGTAAAATATGAATAAATCCACTTCTCAGTTATATATTTCAAAAACTCTCATTGAGTCTCTATACAGAGGTCTGAGCTATATACAGGCAAAATATTGTTATAATAGAAGCATTTTTCGCAAAAGGAGAATATTTTGAAAATGGGTCATTCTATGTTCATTTTTTGTCAAAATATTGTACTTAAATAATTTTTTATTGTAATACTATTCTTAAAACAATTTATATACATTTTCTAATCGAAGTGACACTAAATATCACAAATATAATCCATTTATACGCTTTTGAATACGCACGAACGAAGCTATAGGAACGTAGTCGGATACCTTAAATATTAGTACAAAGAGTTAATAAAAAGGATACCAGAGGGAATTATTACATATATATATATATATACATAAAATTCGCAAATATAAGAAAAAAATTAAGCTACAAACTAATTTTGGGTAACCTAAATTACACATTGCTAATTTGGATAAATAAACAGTTTTTTTAATTAAATTGATCATTGAGGATAGAGATTTACTTTAGTATTTATAATCAAATTACTTGAATGAGGAAATTTATCGCCATGATTTAATACCCATGAACTTAGAATTCGTTAAATGTTAGTTGTGTCTCAATGAACCTTCAATAGAAAACAAACTTCCATTAATATTGTCAAGTAGAATGTGATGTATTCCATTTAACCAGTTAACTGTGGTGTCCCCGATCTAGAATGCGCTATTTAATGTGTCACGGAAATCGAACGATGAAATGTCTTTACTCATCATTCACGGAAATCGAGTGATGATCAGTCCTTTACTCATCAATCACAGAGCAAGTGTTGCTGCTAACATACTATATTAAAAAGATGGGTTTATTTTTATAAAAAGGCGAATTTTATTACTAATCCTTATTTATTTGTTTAACATAAACATACAAGATGGGACACAAAAAAGACGAGACTGGTCCAATAAATCATTGTACGTACAGAATCAGTTCTCCGTGAAATTAGTTCCCATCAGCAGTAAGGCTATACAGTATCCTACAAATCTCAAATATACCTAAAAAATTTTTTTTGCATTTTCCTGTGACCCATATCTCAAAGCTTGCCATCTGTTTTCAGATCTGATAACAAATTAGTTTTCCAAATATCTGAAGTTTTCTGAGCTTAGGTTTCGGTTTTATTTTAAAGCATTTTTCCACTTTAAATTGAAGTATTTAAAAAAAATTTTTTAGTACAATCAACTCTTTCAGTGTGAAATGGTTATTAATTTCCTTTACTAAAATCATTTCTGCTTGATTATGTTTTGAGTTTTTTGAGTTCTCATAGTTACTTAAGGTATCCGCCTACTTACAACTTTTTTTTAAAAAAAAATTGGAGATATGGAGATTTTTTTGTAGTTTTTAGATTTATTTGGTACATTTTAAGAAAAAAAGGATAAAATTAAGAAGAGAAAAATAAATTATTATTACAAAAATGGGAAAAAATGGGTAAAAGACAAATAAATTACATAAACGGGGCCCGCTCTGTATAAAAAGCAAATTAACAAATTCTCAATTTTTCAATTTTGATGCATTACTTTGTTATTCCTTTTTGAAATGAACTTTAGGATAAGAGATGATTTTAATTTTTACAAAAACTAGAGCATTTTATCTTACTTAGTTGTTATATGAAATTGCTTAAAAAACAGTGATTATATTTACATACAGAACTGTAAATTTTGTAATAAATTAGTTGATTGATAAATATAAAGGTTTTTAAGCCCTTCTACTGTTATACAGGACATACGCAAAAAAT